CCCCATGTTGATTGGTTGGTAAGTATTGTTGACGAAAGGCCTCCACTATGTACGATGAGAAGTATTACTTGAAAGGCATAGAAAGTGCAATAAATGTACTGTGGGTGGGAGTTGAGCTTGACAAGAAGTGATTGGACGTTGATTTTGAGAGAAAAGCTGACCAAGTAAATTCTGCAAAAGAAGATAATTCAAGCTCTTGTTGTTGAAGCTGAAAGGATTGTCATGGAGTTTTGGTGTGAGGAAAGAGGAAACTATCAAAATTATCTCTACTATGTTGATTTCACCATTTTGGTCATAGTCATTTTAACTTGACTAATTAAATCCGTTGGCTATCAATTTTTTACTCAAAATAATCCTCGGCGACTATTTGTATAGCATATGGGTCCACTAACTTTAATTTGTTGGTCTGTTATTAGTATACAATGAGATACAATATAATTAATGACTTAGACTACAGTTTAAATGATTTACAATATGACTTAGACTTCAATGACTTGTCCATTTTTATTTTTGTTTAGGCAGAATATTGTTATCAAGTTGTAGTTGTGGCAATTGGAATATGAAACTAGGTTACTGCAATGACAATTTGTCATACAATATTCTATACAAATAATCGCCGAAGGACCATTTCGTGTAAAAAATTGATAGTCGAAGAATTTAATTAGTCAAGTTAAAATGACTAGAACTAAAATGGTGAATCAACATAATGGAGGGACAAATTTTGGTAATTTCCTTTTTGAGGAAAATAGAATTTTAGATGAAAATTCTCTCTATTAGCTTGTAAATGTCTTAGCGGCTAATCCAATGTACAAGGTTAGCCATATCATTTTGCTAACAGATAGAGCTGTCAATACGAGCTGGCGGGACGGGACAGGCCAAAAAAAGCCTGCTCCTTGGTGGGCGTGCGTTTTACTGGCCCACCCCGCCCTACCCTTGTCCCGCGGGCTAGGCGAGTCCCCGCCACTTTTTTTTTTTTTTTATTTCTTTAACCTTTAAGTTGTTAGTTTGATACTTGGCAAATTATGTCGTGGAAACGTGTTCACCATGCTTTGTGAACACGGTCCCAAACGGCATTGTTTTTACCAAAAAAAATTTTAGTTAATGTGTTGTTAACGATGTTTTGCATTTTTTGTTCAAATTATGAATTTACATTTATAAAATTATGAATTTTCTGTTATGAGATTATGAATTTACATTTATGTAATTATGAATTTTCTGTACATTCATAATCTCATAACAGAAAATTCATAATTTCATACCAGAAAATTCATAATCTCATAAAAGAAACACATTTATTAAATTATGAATTTTCTTTTATGAGATTATGAATTTACAGTTATGTAATTATGAATTTTCTGTACATGCATAATCTCATAACAGAAAATTCATAATCTCATAACAGAAAATTCATAATTTCATAACAGAAAATTCATAATCTCATCAAAGAAAATTCATAATTTCATAACTGCACATTCATAAATCCATGCCTGCACATTCATAATTTATGAGTGTTGAAGAAACTTGCGCGAAGAAGAAGTGAAACCTCAAAATATGAATATGAAGAAGAAAAGTCGCGCTATTAATTGAGAAAAAAAATAAAAAATTGGTGGAAGATAACGGTGCCCGTAGGCACCGTTACCGTTTGGGACCGTGTTCACCATGGATGGTGAACACGGTTCCAAGGCATAACGATTGTTGATACTTTGTTAAGTTTTACCATTTGTATATTCTAAAAATAATTAAAATAACTTCTTACTTATCTCACGTAAGACATAGTTCATTACACATTAGACATTACATAATGCATAACAATAATTATAAAGTTGATAGTCGTAAAATTTTAAAACATTAAACAAGGGTTATGATTATTACTTATTAGTTATTAGGTTATAGTTAGATTATATATATATATATATATATATATATATATATATATATATATATATATATACATATATATATACATACATACATACATACTAGTAATTCACCCGCGCGGTGCACGGAAAAAAATTATGTTTTTATAAATATAAATAAAAAATAGAAAAACTAAAATATTTTAAATTATTTAATATAATAATATTTTTGAGCTTCCATTGGTCAAGTATTTATTATTTTTATAGAATACAAAATTACAATTATAATTATAATTATAATTATAATTATAATTATAATTTTGTATGGTTAATATAATCTCTAATTATGTGCATATTCAAATAAACTTATAGAGATAATTTACATAATTACATTGATTTATTCTTAATTGTATTTCATCTATACTATAATTTTCACAATACAAATAATAACTAAGATAATTACATTTGAAAAGCAAATTTCAAATTTTGTATGTGTAAATTTAAACTCTAATTGAACACATTTTTTATACGATTATATAATATATAGCTATTTTATTTTTCAAAAGTATATTTTTTATATGATTATATAATATATAGCTATTTTATTTTTTAAATGTTGTGCTTGTTTTTTTTTTTTTTATATA